GCATCATGTCCATGTTCACTGCAGCGATTGTGGAGAAGCTGAGGCGGATACAGGCTTTGAAAATGACACAGATGTCGGTGTTTTGGTTGGCGCTGCAGCTTGTTCTGATGGGACTCTCAGAGTCATTCAACTTCATTGGACAGATTGAGTTCTTCAACAGTCAGTTCCCTGAACACATGAGAAGCCTCGCGAACTCGCTGTTTCCACTCTCCTTTGCCGCATCTCACTATCTTACCAGTTTGCTGGTGACGACCGTGCATAGGTTCTCGGGAGGAAAAGGCCAGCCGGATTGGCTGGACAATGACCTTGATAGAGGGAGATTGGATTACTTCTACTACTTGATTGTTGGTTTGGGTGTTGTTAATCTTGTCTACTTCTGGTACTGTGCCAGAAGCTACCGGTACAAGACCGGTTCACAAATTGAAGATTTGGAAGAGGAGAAATCTTTGGTAGACTAGAATGAAACCCACATGAATGATCAATTTACAAGCTATGTTTGGATGAATATGTAACGCACTATGCTTGTAAATGCTTTATATAAGAACTGGCTCTCGTTGAAAAATATCATTACTTTACATGTCACAACCAAAAATAGTTCTCATACCAAAAGATAAATTGTTAGAAATTCCAAACCAGAGAATATCAAGTGAGATCATTCTTCCTTTAGAAAATAAAATTAAGAAATAAGGAATTGTTTTGAAGTTAAAAAGGAAAGGAAAGGAAAGTTAAAAACAATAATATGATGACAATACTGTACATAGTTTGCAAATTATTAAGATTTTGGGTTGGTAAAATAAAATAACAGCTAACAAAAAAAAGTTATTGATGGTAACAATCCTCTTCTAAAATATCGACAGTGTTATATGTTCACGTTGCAATTAGTGATTTCGTGGTTAAACCTTTGAAGTACTTTTAAAAATATATCTGAAAGATTGTTTTTTTGTGTGTGAGTGTAATTTTGAAGTGCTTCTTTAGCTTTCAACTCTTATCAAACTGCTCTAGAAACATGTTGTGCAGCTGGAAAGATGAAGCTATTTCCAACAGATATGTTAATAGACCATTCCATTGTGCATCCTACTAGAATGATGTGCTGAAACATTTCATGCATAGCAAATGAGGCCCTTCATGCTCGCAGATGACTTCACGGAACTTCAACTTTTCACAAGTCTAAATTTGTTTTTATAGTTGTTTAATAAACTTTCAGATGATTAAAAGACTTGTACCATAAGACATATCCCAAAAATGTATTCAAGTTGTTTCACTTATCAAAACTCTTACTATGTTTTTATCTTTTACTAAGATTGATTAATTCTCACGACGACCTTTTTCTCCATGACCATGAGTTCTGTACCAACTACCAACTCTTATTATCTTATCCCCTATATATTAATTGAGAAACATTTGAAAAGATGTAACCTCAATTTTGTATTAATTAAAAGAGGCCCCAATGCATAGGTGTCATTCAATTAGGTAGTCAATTAGATTCAATTGAAAAATAAGTAAGTTCACATTGGATTTTTATAGGTTGCTAGATACATTAGTTAGTCAAACTATATGATATAATGATATGATATGTTATTTTCTTTCCATAAATAAAACCTACGGAATTAATATAAATGACTAATATATATATATGACACTTAATGATTGTTCCCTAAGATATAATTACTATTTTATTTTATTTCCATAAATAAAACCTACGGAATTACCATAAATGACTAATATATATATATGACACTTAATGATTCTAATAATAAATATTTGATAACAGTTTATATATCCTTCATCATTTTTCTTTAATTTTATATTATNGAATTTTAAGAAACGAGAATAAATAACTAAACTATTAAAATTATTATCTTAAAAATTAATGATCAATAGTTTAAAATTTTATTATAAAAAGATATACATGATTTTAAAACTATATAAGTAAAAAGTATCATTCAATAATAAAACAAATATATATATACAGATTAAACTATATACCATATAAGATTACATAAATATTTTATTTCAAAATTTTCAAAATATTTTCAAGAACATTTATAAATTATAAACTTATTAAATTTTTCACATTGAAATTTTTTATTATCAATGATTTAAATATCTTAGTTCTTTTTTTTAATTTTATATTTTTAAAAGATATTAACAATCGATAATATGGTTATTTTTGGTATATACCATACAAACCGAATAAATGTGATTTTATAAAAACCATAGGATTTGGATATGGTTTGATTTATAATCGATTAAACTGAACATGTAAATATGTATATATTTATAACGACGCATGAATATCTATCTGTTACATGAGTTGAACTATAATAATAACTAGATCTTGACCCGCGCACCGGCGCGGGTTTAACTTAATTTGAGAAAATGTAATAAATTCAGAACTCATCGATTATTACTGTGTTTAAGATATTGTGATCCACGTTGTATGTGAACTATCATATTGAATATAATAGGACTGGGTTGTGATTTTCGGTTCAGCTTTTATTAGGTTCTTTACGTTCTTAGTTTTTTTANTCCAAACTTACTTATTTTAAATACTGCTATCCATGTTTCCAAACAAAAGGTTAAAGTACTTCTACTTTAATAAGATAGATAGCAAATCTTTGTAACAATAAATACCAGATCTTATTAAATATTGATATCTATGTTTCCAAACTTACTTATTTTAAATACTGCTATCCATGTTTCCAAACAAAAGGTTAAAGTACTTCTACTTTAATAAGATAGATATATTTATAACGACGCATGAATATCTATCTGTTACATGAGTTGAACTATAATAATAACTAGATGATAATCCGCGCCATGCGCGGAGTGAGCTTTTTAACAATATGTTGTATTTAAATATATATTTTGCTATCAATATGGACATTTGGGTACTATTTGTTTCGGTTAGATTATGTTTGGTTTAGATCATTGCGGTTTGGTTTGAATTTTTACAGGTTCAGATTGGGTTTAAGTTCGCATAACCCATTTAATTTTTATAAAAAAGATCAAAATTCATATATACTTTAAGTTTTTCAAAACCTAAAAGTAGAAATAATATTTAACATAAATTTGAAAAATGAATGACAAAATACTTAAAATTAACATTAAATTGATTTATCATCAATATTTGGACAAAAAATCAATAAATATTTCAAATATTTTTGGTATTTAGAGTATCGTTTGACTATTTTACAAATTTTCATTTAACTATTTTACATATTTCTAAGTATTTTAGAATTTTTTTAAAACATCTCATGTGTTTTGTATATTCTTAGATGTTAAATTTAAAAATAATTAATATATTTAAGAATATAAATCTGGTTCGAGTACACTCGGATATCCGAAATTTTTTGATTCAGTTTTGATTATCTAGATACCAAAATTTCGAATTCGCTTGGATATCTAACCAATTTTGCTTAAAAATTTGTATTCATTTTTTGGTTAGATTTGGTTCGGTTATTTGGATTTAGTTTTTTTTTGTTCAACCATATATTTTTTTTATTATACCAAAAATTAAAACGAAATGGATGATGGTTCATATTGATTTTGGGTATGCAAAAATTTTAAACAAAACACACTCTATTATGGGTGATCCATTTAGTTAACCATTATGAACTGTTTAAGACCCATTAGAAAAACGATTGGCTGAACTAAAATCGTTACCATTGATCACAAAATTTCAGTGTGAGATTTTTCTCATCTTAAGTAATTTATGGTCGTTTTAAAAAAAATTAAAATGTAACGTATAAGAACAAATATAAAATTTTTATTATATAATTAATGTGATTTTTTAATTTCTTTTAATAATATAAATTAAATAAAACATAAAGAGTATAAAAAATTGTTATCAAATATTTATTATTCATAAACATTAATTGTGATATATATGTTAATCATATTAGGTAATTCCGTAGCTTTTATTTAAGGAAAGAATAAAAAATCTTCTTTTGTACACTACTAANGTTAATGTTATTGTTTAATTTATTTTTATAATTAAATTTAACAAAAATAGTAGATGCTATAATTTTTTTTATCAAATCTTCATATTCAAATCATTAATTGTCATATATATATTGTAACCATATTAGGTAATTCCGTAAATTTTATTTAAGGAAATAATGAATAGCATTAATAATAGTTTTATGTTTAGGCTAATAAAAATATATTATATGTTTATATGGACCAACATTTTTCTCTAGTAAATTTGAGAAACATTCTCATGCTGACACGTGGCTACCAAAGAATGTTGTAATGCTTCTCAAATAATATATAGGGGATTTGTAAATAGCTAACAATGTATTACGACTAAGACTTCTTATTTTGATCTTTTGCTTTTTTAACAGTAACTAAATTGAAGTAGAGATTATAAATTTGATGGACAATAATTAGTTGAAATTCTTTACAACTTTTTTTTATCTTTAAACAAATAGAGTTGTGTTCAATCGAAGACATATTGGTTTGATGAACACTAAATATGGAAGAATATAAAAACTTTTCTTTCATGCTTCTGTTTTGTTTTTTATTTTTATTTTCAAAATTTAGTGTTTTGATATTAATTCTAGATTTGATCATTTTATTAGATGATAGAAGCCTTTTTCGTTTTTTATTCTTTTATTTAAATATATAAAAAAATTTTAATAAATAACTCTGTGACAATATGACTCTAAATATGATCATATTATATATTTGTATAATATATAATATGATCTCAAACTAAATAATTATGTTTTTTGGTATAAAATTGAATAAACTGAAAACCGATGGTATATAAACCAAATCAAACTGAAGTACATATAAATTTAGAATAGTAATTATATTTTAATGATCGAAATACCAAAAAATCGAGCCGAACCGAAACCCGATATCCGGATTGAACACCTCTAAGCCGAATGAAACCGAACTATTTTTTCATTTTTAAAAACATAATAAAAATAATAGCTTCATCCCGCGCAAGGCGCGGGTCTTATCCTAGTTAATTTCTTATAAGGTTCGTATCACATGCTTCACTAAACATTTCACCACACAAAAAGTCCCACTCTTTGCCAATGATGAAATTAACAAAAACATACAAGTCAAAGTTTCAGTAACTCTATATATGAGAGCTTCAAGTAAAAATTTATTCTCACATCTCTCAATTTCAGTAACTCTATATATGAGACCATCAAGTTAAAATTTATTCTCACATCTCTCATAGATGCTACCACTGGAGGGTAATAAAACGACATGGAGTGTTCCATTGTTACGAGGAAGTCGCAAACAAAGAGGAGACAACTTTCCACTTAAGGGGTTGCGAGTGCACACCACAAAATCTTCCAAGCATGTTTCTTCTCGTAGTGTCTGAGTCAGTTCTGCCACACTGTTTCCTCTAAACATGAAAAAATATTCAGCAGATGATTTTTCTTCCATGTGTCTTTCATCAGCAATACTATAATAGATTCTTCGTCCATCCTGTTTCAAGGGAGGTTCAACATACTGAGCAAAATATATAAAAGATATTTGTGTTAATAGCAAAAAGCAAAAGCTACTCACCTCTGAGTCATATTTTTCTGAATTAGATGACGTAGTCTTCGAATGTGAAGAATTTGACAACTTCCTATACAGTGTCTTCTTGGACGAGGAAGTAGACTTCATCTCCACTTTAAGCGGAAGATCAATATTATAATTGTGGGTGTGCATATCCGATTTTGATGTAGACTCATCACACTAATAAAAATAAACATTTGTTGTGACAAACAATAATTTTATTTTTAAAAAGGTGTTTGTTAATTACAAAAAAGTACTCACTTCTGAGTCTGATATATCTGAAAGATAAGGTGGAGTCTTCAAATGTGGAGAACTCGACAGCTTCCTATGTGGCGGTGGATGCAACTTCTTCTTGGACGGATGAGTAGACTTCATCACCCCCTTTAACGGATGATTACTATGATAATTGATGGTTCGCCCATCCGGTTTTGATGAAGACTCATCAGACTAATCAAAATAAAAATGCAGCAGTAATTTTAGATTTATAAAGTGTTATGTTAATTAAAAAAAGTTACTCACATCTGAATCTGATCCGTCAAAAAAATAAGATGGAGGCTTCGAATGAGGAGAATTTGATGGTTTCCTATGCGGCAACATATGCATTGTCTTCTTCGAAGATGAAGTAGGCTTCATCTCACACTTAAATGGATGATTATAACCGATCACATCCGATTGCGATTGAGACTCATCAGACTAGTCAAAATAAAATTTGTTATAGTAACAATTTTAATCTTAAAACGTGTTTTGTGAATTAAAAAAAAGTACTCACATTTGAATCTGATGTCTCTGAAAGAGAAGTCTGAGTCTTCGAATGAGGTGAATTTGACGGCTTCCAGTGAGGACGCGGATGCATCATTTTCTTTGAAGATTGAGTAGACTTCGTTTCCGCCTTGAATGAGTGATTGACATGATAAACTATGGTTTGCTCATCCGATTTCAATGGAGACTCATTGGACTGTTCAAAAATAAAAAAATGTTATAGTAGTAGTTTTAGATTTTAAATGGTGTTTAACTAATAACAAAAAGGTACTCACATCTGAGTCTGTGTCTGATTTGTCAAAACGTAAAGACGGAGTATTCGAATGAGGAGAATTTGATGGCTTCCTATTCTGAGATATATGCATCATCTTCTTCGGAGACCGAGTAGACTTCATATCCCCCGTCAATGGTTGCTTACTATGATAACTGACGGTTCGCTCATCCGGTTTCGATGGAGACTCATCAAACTAGTCAAAAATAAAATTTGTTATAGTAGTAATTTTAATTTTAAAAGGGTGTTTTGTTAATTACAAAAAAAACTCACATTTGAATCTGATATGTCTGAAAGAGCAGAGGGTGACTTCGAATGTGGAGAATGCGACAGCTTTCTATGTGGCGGTTGATGCAGTGTCTTCTTCAATGATATAGCAGACTTCATCGCCGACTTCAATGGAGGATTAGTATGATAATTGATGGTCCGCCCATCGGATTTTGATGGAGACTCATCACACTGGTCAAAATAAGAATTGGTTGGGTGGGAATTTTAATTTTAAAAAGGGTTGTGAAAATTACCAAAAAAAAAAAAACTCACATCTGAATCTGATATGTCTGAAAGAGCAGATGGAGACTTCGAATGTGGAGAATGCGACAGCTTTCTATGTGGCGGTTGATGTAGTGTCTTCTTCAATGACATAGTAGACTTCATCGCCGACTTCAACGGAGGATTAGAATGATAATTGATGGTTCGCTCATCAGATTTTGATGGAGACTCTTCACACTGGTCAAAATAAGCAATTGGTTGGGCGGTAATTTTAACTTTAAAAAGTGTTGTGAAAATTACAAAAAAAAAAAAACTCACATTTGAATCTGATTTGTTTGAAACAGAAGATGAAGTCTTCGAATGCATAGAATTCGACGGCTTATTATGTGGTGTCGCATGCAGCATCTTCTCCGACGACGGAATAAACTTCATCTTCGTTTTGAACGAAAAATTAGTATCACTTACGAGGGTTCCCCCATCCGATTTCGATGGAGACTCAGGCTAATAAAAAAATTCAAAAAAGTTATTTTGACGGTATATAATTTATAAAAAAGGTGTTTGGTAATTACGAAAAGGAACTCACATCTGAATCTGAAAAGTCTAGGAGGGAAGACAAAGTCTTTGTATGCATGGTCTTTTTAGGAGGCGAAGTAGACTTCATCTCCGCATTGAATAGATGATTAATATGATAATTGTTTGCTACTTCATTTGATTTCGTTAGAGACTCATCACACTAGTCAAAAGAAAATTTTGTTCTAGTGAAAATTTAAATTCTAAAAGTGTTTTAGTAATTACAGAAAAAGTACTCACTTCTGAATCTGATTTATCCGAAAGAGAAAATGGATTCGAAGATGGCTTCTTTGATGATGGAGTGAACTTCATCTCCCCTTTGAAGAGATGATTATCATCGATGATTTGCCCATCCGCTTTCGATGGAGACTCATCAGACTAGTTAAAATAACAATATGTTATGGCCATATTTTTTATTATAAAAAGGAGTTTTGGTAAAGAAAAATATACCCACTTCTGTAATAGATATGTACGAAAGAGTAGACGGAGTCCTAGAATGTGAATCTGACAGCCGGAAATTTGACGGTTTCCTATGCGGAGGTGGAGTCACTGACTTCCTCGGCGTTGTCGATGGAGTAAACTCCATCTCCTCCATGACTTGAGGATTAATCAATATCTCAACTACATCAACCTCCCACGAGATAGACTCCAGAGTAGCCGAATGAGAATTATCATGTGTGACGGATTTTCTGCGCGGAGGAGGTCCATCGTTAGCTCGGAGGTAGTTACCATCTCTCGTCTTGAGCAAGATTTTAGACCCTTCTCTCACTGGTTCCCACTCAACAGATGAATCAAGTCGACTCGGCTTTGACTGTATCACTTTCTTCCCATTAGCACCGAGCAAGAACCGGTCATTCGAAGCGGTTAAGTATTTACCGTAACAGCTTTTAAGACGGATGACATGATAGGAATGGCTAACTGGTTCGACGGTCCATTGAGCGTTTTCTGTTGATCCGTTTTTACCTTGATTAACCGTTTCTTCGTCTTCATCCGCAGTTAGATACTTGTTGTGGCAGCTAAGAATTCGAACAGCTTTTGCTTTCCGGAAAAGCTCCACTGCTGATACGGTTTCCTTGTCGTTGAAGCTACACATCTTCCCCTTTTGCTTGGAGATACTCATGTTCTGTAAAGAGTAAACGAATGGGAAAATATGTAAGAAAAATTTACTGTGGTCAGTGATGCAATTAATTTGAAAAAAGTCAGACTTTACTGATTGGATTTACCACATTTTTAGTTCCACATCAGCACAATATGACTTAAAGAGTTGTATTCTCTAATGAATAGTTTCTAACAAAATGTGAAGCATAACTACATGTCCGGCCACAATTACAAACAAAAAAAACTACATGGCCGGCCCTATTCTTCCTAATAATGTCACTATGCCATTAAAGTATGGACTGCAAAAGAGGATTTAAGAGAATATTTAGAGAATAAATGTCTAAACTCTTTGAAAGAAAGACCAAGAAAGGGTTGACAAAAAAAGAATGACCAAGAAAGGAAATTTGTGAGTGTGGAACTCTCCTATTTGCTTCCTTCAACTTCCATGGACCCATATACTCCACTGGTTCTACACATGTCTTATGTTTGTTGGCAATAAATTTATTATACAAAGCCATTATGTATATGTTTTATTGTTGACCAAAAAGAAAACTAATAATTTTTTTCTTTCTTAATCTGCCTTTGTATAGCTTCTGTCTAGAAAAATCGTTTCATTTGATCAATTTACCATCTAGGCGGACACTTTAGACGTGCCCAAGACCATGTTTAGAACATTGCACTTAATTAAACAACAACAAAAAAAATCAATCAAAGCACAATGTAAACTAAATTTTTTAATAGTTAAAGACAATCAAACTTACAAGTTTTGGGGACCATCTCGGAGACATTGAAATTAAACCAGAAGAAGCAAACCGACCTAGACTCTTCTTTGGCTTGCCTGAAACGGGCGACCCGGGCGCAGACCGGAAACCCAAACCAGGGACATGTGGGGAAAGCGGAGAAGAAAGAGAGCTCTTATATCCATCAGACATGTTTTCAAGATCAAAACCATCAACAGTAATAACATACCAAAGCGACCAGTTCTTGGTCTTCCACGTAGGAGGCTCGTCGTGAGTAACTGACTTTCTCCACGGCGGCGTTCCACCGTTAGCCCTCATCCATTTGCCTGACCACGATTTCAGCTTCACGGAAACCCCATTTCCCACCGGTTCCCAGTGCGTTTGGCCATCCATAGGGTTGTTTGACGACTGAGTTTGAGTCACTTTCTCTCCCGTCGTGCCTAATAGAAACGGTTTACTGCTAGCCGTTAAGTACGTGCCGTGGTAGCTTCTTAATCTGATCAGCTTAGGGTTACCAACGACGGTCTCCACCATCCAAATGACTAGCCGTGAATATCCTTTACGGCTTTGACGGATGGTTTTTTGGTCCTCGTCCGCGAGTAAAAACATGTTATGATGACTCATTAACTTAACGGCGTTGCCTTTGGAGAACAACTCCATTTCTTTTGAGGTTTGAAGAAGAGAAGCGAAATCGAAAGAGAGTTGTGTTTTGGTTCTGTCAAGGAAAGAGAGATATGAGCATGAGGAAGGCTTCAAGGTTGTTGGTTATATAGATTATTAATGATTAAAATGACATAAGAAGCCTGGCTGAAAAGAAACTATTGTAAATTAATATGCGGAGGTGTTATTCAGTTTGTAATTATTTAGACATTCCTCAAATGAAACGACATATTGCAAACTGATTAATACCTCCAAATAGTAACTTGCAGTAGTTTCATTGACCATTCATAATGCCTCCGAGTATTACTTCTGAATAATGTGGGTTTTCAATCTAAACCAATAATATTAAGTGATTCTTTCGTATTCAAAAAATAATTAAAACATAAAAAATATCTAAGTTTGTTAGCTATTACTGTCTTGTTTTCTTAGTTTTTTTTTGACATTGTCTTGTTTTCTAAGTTATATGTGTAATTTTTGGTATTATAATATGATTAGATCAATCATTCATTTTTGGTTATAATTAATTGATATATTCAAGTCAAACCATAATCTTATTCCGCATAGATGAAAATAGAACTAATTTTGTTAATTGTATTTATTTTTATTTTTATTTTCAAATATATATTTTTTTTGTTTTTTTTTGTCATCCTATTTTCAAATATATGTTATGATATAATGTATAATTTGAATTTTTTTTCTTAAAAAGTAGAACACAAAATAAACTATTGATAATATTTTAAAATTCATCCATATATATTTATATATGAATATTTCAAAATAACTAAATCGTAATGGTTGTTTAATTTTTCTTTCATTTAATAATATTTAAGTCATTTAACATTTATAGTTATGGAATTTAGAAAATGAAAAATTGCAAATTATATTATTATATTAATAAAAATTTGACTTGGATATAAAATTTCATCTCTCTTGTTATAAATTATGTTTACTCGCAAAGAAAGTCAAAGATGTTTTAAAAACACATTATATATCCATTATCAATATTTAATTAAATTTTATTAAATTTCTGTATTCTCCAAACGAAATTATCTTCTAAAATATAAATCATTATTTATATAATCAGTATGTTTATAAATGGTCTTGTAAAAATTAATGTGGGTACAACTTGTAAAATACATATGTTTTAAATAATAGCATACAAAGATAAGATATTATCTATTCTCCAATATCTTCTATTTTGTTATTTTCAGAAAATTGAATGTATTTGTAGCCCGACTTCATATCTGGATAAAAATGCATATATTTTAAATATGAAAACATAATACTTAATGTTCATGTTACTAATTTTGTAAAAGAATGTTCATATTATATTAGTTCAACCAAAAAAGAGAACAAGAAACAAGTAAACGGTAACTATGCGCCTTTTATAGGTTTAGGGAGCAGGCAAATTTTTTGGAGCCTAGTTGGCGGAGATTAGGCGCTAATGGATTATCTTATTTGTTTATTTATTTATTATATATATATATATATATGTATTAAATATTTTAATTTTTAGATTTAATTATAAAATTATTTTGATAAAATATAAAAATTAGATATATAAAAGTGAAATCAGACAAATTTTTGGACTTGCACTAATATTGTTACTTGATTTACACCAATTTAGATCAATTAGAACAATTTAGAGCGATCTTAACCTACATATCACTGTTTAAACCTATTTGAATTGCTTAAATTAGATGTTAAGAACACGTTGCCGCCAAGGTACTAAACTGAATATTAAAAAAAAAAGAAAACAATGGAAAATGGTCGTTGAAAAAAAAGACAATGGAAAATGAAGAACATGAGGAGGTACAGGTAACTGCTGGCCTAAACTTGGATAAGATACTTTTAATGTTCATGTTAATAATTTGTGAAAGAGTGTTCATATTATTGTGTTACAAAAGACAGTGTTCATATAGTTTAACCAATAAAAACAAAGGAAAATGGCCGTTTGAAAAAGAACAATGGAATATGAAGATCATGAGAAGGTGCATACATGTAGTCTATGACTTGAATAAGCGACAAGTATAAATATCAACGTTTGACTTGTTTAAAATATTACTTTTTATGGTCAACGTCATGCTTTTAGAAGAAATAGTCACCAAATATTGTCTTTACTTGAAAATTCTCGAAACTCCAAACATCATCACGGTGATGCACCATGTATGTAATAGCTAACAAGTCATAGCATTATTTTTGTATAGTAATTATAAAAAGATCAAGCTGGAAAAAGATCATGTAAGTTTTTACAATATGATCTTTACTAAAATGTCTATATATTCAAGCGGCAAGTTACATAGAAGCTTCTTTCTTTTTGAACACTACATAGAATGTTCAAGGTCAACTTTTTACATTGCCCATAATGATCTAAACTATATTCAACAAAGCGTAAAAGGCATGTCTAAAGGATAACCAGATGTATATATTGCCTTCTTTGATGAAACTTTTCTCCTGCCACATAACATCAACGTTTCATAAACCATCTTAACAACGTGCATCTATCTCTCCACCGAGAAGAGAATCAACAGTTGTGCGCATATAAAGTGACTTAAAGAATACTAGCAATCGCCACAAGAAAAGAGCACCATCTCTCTGCTTGATCCTCCTCTCCAGTACTTAATCGCTTATTCAGTGTTGAAAACGCAGAGTTTGTTGAGTAAACAAACAACAAAGGTAAAAGAATAGCGTATCTGGGAGCTTACCAGTGGAAGATTGGCCGGTGAGTAATAGTAATTTGTATCAGATTACATTAAAAACATGTAAATGTAGATCTGATGCCAATCACCTATATAGAGCACAAGAAAAATGCCAAATCATTAATGTTATTTCTTCAATAAGTAATGATTTAACCTCACAGGTTTTTGTGACTAATCATTTACTATTTAAAGATTTTGTTGTACAGTTTGAATCTTTTTTTTAAAAAAAAATTGATCTAAATGGCAACTTTGATATCTTGCGTAAACTTTTATAAGTTTGTGTCTTTATCCTTGATTTCAATTGAATTATATGTCGGGATTTGGTGTATCGACTCGCACATCGTGGTTTATACAATGATGCTTCAACTCATGTAATCTCCCATCCCAACTTATTAGTGTAGACTGTGGTGGACAAATAAAGTAATGGTTTGATTAATACTCAAGCGAGCGACGACCTATATCTCTGTGACCATGAGTCATGTCATGTACCAACCACTACCAAATCTTATTATCTTATTAACTTCTTATAAGGTTCGTATCATATGCTTCACCACACAAAAAAAGCCAGTCACTCATTTGCCAATGATGAATTTAACAAACAAACAGACAAGCCAAAGGTTCAATAACTCCATATGAGAGCTTAAAGTTAAAATTGATTTACTCACGTCTCTCTAGTGTCTACCACGGGAGGGTACTAGAACGACATGCAGTGGTTCGTTGTTAGGAGGAAGTTGCAAACGAAGGGGAAGCAATTTGCCATTTAAGGGACTGCGAGTGCACACCACAACATCTTCCAAACACGTTTCTTCTCGTAGTATTTGAGTCAGCTCTGCAACAGTTGTTCCTTTAAACGAGAAAACATGTCCACCGGTTGATTTTTCTTCCACGTGTCTTTTATTAGCAATACGATAATAGATTGTTCGTCCATCCGGTTTCAATGGAGATTCAGCATACTGGTGAAAATAAAATAAAAATTTATTACGGGGATAATTTTAGTTTTACAAAGATGACACGAAAGTAAAAGTACTCACATCCATATCTGATATGTCTGAAACAGACCACGGACACGGAGTCGTTGAATGTGAAACTGGCAATGAAAAATTCCTATGTGGCGGGGGATGTAGCGTCTGCTTAGACTTCATCTCTTCTTTGAAGGTAGAACTATTATGATAATTGATAGCTTGTCCACCCAACTTCGATTGAGACTCATCACACTAATCAAAACAAAAATTTGTTGTAAGGATAAATTTAATTTTAAAATAAGTCTGTTTTAGTAATTACAACAATACTCACATTAGAATCTGATATGTCTGGAAGAGAAGACAGACTCTTCAAATAAGGATTTGACGGCTTCATATGCGGTGGGGGATGCAACGTTTTCTTTGAAGACAAAGTAAACTTCACCTTCGCCTTGACAGGATGATTACTATGATAATCTATGGTTCGCTCATCCGATTTCCATGGAGACTCATCAGACTGGTCAAAATAAAATAAAAATTGTTATAGTAGTAACTTTAGATTTAAAAAGTGTTTTGTTAGTTACAAAAAAGATACTCACATCTGAATCTGATCTATCAAAATGAGAACACGGAGTCTTCGAATGAGGAGAGTTCGATGGCTTCCTATGCGGAGACAGATGCATCGTCTTCTTTGATGATGAAGTAGACTTCATCTCAGCCTTGAGTGGAGGATTAATATAATAACCGATCTCATCCGAATTTGATGGAGGCTCATCAGACTAGTTAAAATGAATAATTTGTTATAATAGTAAAAAAAATTTTAAATGCTGTTTTGTTAATTACAAAAAAAAACACTTACATTTGAATCTGATATGTCTGAAAGATAAGTTGGAGTCTTCGAAAGAGGAGAATTTGATGGCTTCCGATGCGGAGACGGATGTATCATTTTCTTTGAAGACGGAGAAGACGTCATTTCCGCTCTGAATGGATGATTATTATGATAATTGATGGTTCGCTTTTCCGGTTTGGGGGGAGACTCATCAGACTTGCCATTAAAAGAATTTGATAGGAAATAAGTTAATATTTAAAATGGTATTTTGTTAATTATGAAAACGGTAAGGTACTCACATCTGACTCTGATTTGTCAAAAAGAGAAGATGGAGTCCTCGAATGAGGAGACTTCCTATGCGGAGACACACACATTGTCTTCTTTGAAGACAGAGGAGACTTCATCTCGGCCTTCAAGGGTTGTTTAATATGATAACGGATGGTTTGCTCATCCAATTTCGATGGAGAATCTTCAAACTAGTCAAAATAAAAAGTTTGTTAGAGTAGTAACTTAATTTTAAAATTAATTACAAAAAGTACTCACATTCGAATCTGATATGTCTGAAAGAGAAGACGGAGTCTTCGAATGAGGAGATCTCAACGGCTTCTTATGTGGCTGTGGATGCAACGTTTTCTTTGGAGACGGACTAGACTTCATTTCTACCTTGATTGGATGATTAAAATGATAACTGATGGTTCGCTCATCCAACTTTGGTACATACTCATCAGACTAGTCAGAAAAGAATCATGTTATAGTAATAATTTTAATTTTAAAAAGATAGTTTGTTAATTACAAAAAAAAAATGTACTCACATCTGAATCTGAATGAGAAAACGGATTCGAAGACTGCCTCCTATGCAGCATCAAAGGAGGTGTCTTATTTGATGATGGAGTATACTCCATACCATCCGATTTTGATGGAGACTCATCAGGCTGATCAAAATAAATATTTGTTATAAGAAATAATTCTACTTATAGAAAGGTATTTAAGTAATGACACAGGAACAAAATAAAAATACTCACATATGAATCTGATATGTCTGAGACAAAAGACGGAGTCATGGTATGTGAAACTGACAATGGAGATTTAGACGGCTTCCTATGTGGCGGTGGAGTCCGTGATTTCTTTGGTGACGGAGTAACCTCCATCTCCTCCATGAATAGAGGGTTCCTCAAGATCTCAACGACATCAACCTCCCACGAGATCGACTCCTGAGTAGCCGAATGACGTTTATTGTGTGTGACGGATTTTCTCAGCGGAGGAGGTCCAGTGTTAGCTCGGAGGTATCTACCATTTCTCGTCTTGAGTAATATTTTAGACCCTTCTCTCACGGGCTCCCACTCAACAGATGAATCTAGTTGAATCGGCATTAACTGAATCACTTTCTTACCCTTAGCTCCTATCAAGAACCGCTCGTTTATAGCGGTTAAGTATTTTCCGTAACAGCTTTTGAGACGGATAACGTTATTGGAACCGCGAACCGGTTCGATGGTCCATTGAGTGTTTTTTGTTGATCCCTTTTTCTTTTGTTTCACCGTTACTTCGTCGTCCTTGGCAGCTAGAAACCTGTTGTGGCTGCTACGTATTCGAATAGCTTTTGCGTTTTGAAAAATCTCCATCGCTGATACCGTTTCCTTTTCCTTGAAGCTCAACGTCTTCTCCTTTTGCTTGAAGATACTCATGTTCTGTAAAAAAAGTAAATAATATTTTAGAATCATATATGTAATAAAAAGTTAATTATCACGTTGTTACAACGGTAGATTTTTATATTTTGAGATGTACAACTTGTCTAAGTTCAGCAACAAAAAAGATCAATCAAACCACTATACAAAATGAACTTTTGATAGTTAAAGAGAGTCAAATGTTAGATTCGGGTTTATTATGGTCTTCCAACTTAAAACCAATTGATGTGGATTGGTTCTAACCCTTTATATATTACTTAAGGTCGCTTTGAATTCTCAATATTATCCCTAATATCAAAACTTACAAGTTTTGTTGGAGTCCACCTCGGAGGCATTGAACGTAAACCAAAAGAAGCGAACCGACCTAAACCCTTCTTTGACTTGGCCGCATTAACGGGCGATCCGGGCGCGGACCAAAAACCCAAACTGGTGAGACTTGGAGAAACCGGAGAAGAAACAGAACTCTCATATCCATCAGTCATGTTTCCAAGATCATCAACGGCAATAACATCCCAACGCAACCAGTTCTTGGTTCTAGACGTTTGAGGCTCGTCGTGAGTAACGGTGTTTCTCCACGGCGGCGATCCACCGTTAGCTTTCATCCATTTTCCGCACCAAGATTTCAGCTTCACGGAAACCCCATCTGCCTCCGGTTCCCAATGCGTTTGCATATCCATCGGGTTGTTAGACGACTCAGTTTGTGTCACTTTCTCACCGGTCATACCTAACAGTAACGGTTTACTGCTCGCGGTTAAGTACGTGCCGTGGCAGCTTTTTAATCTGATCAGGTTCGGTTTACCGACGACGGTCTCCACCGTCCAAACGGATAGCCGTGTGTATCCTCCTTTACGGCTTTGGCGGATGTGTTTTTGGTCGTTCTCTGCGACTAAATACTTATCTAGATGGCTCCGTAACTTAACGGTGTTGCCATTGGTGAATAACTCCATTTCTTTTTGAGGTTTGGAGAGTAGGCAACAAAGAGAGTTGTTTGTTTTTGGTTTGTGAAGGAAGGAGAGATTATGACTCTGAGGAAGATGAGGAAGGCTTTCTGGTTGATTATATAGTTTAAAAAGATTAAAATGGGACAAAAAAAGCCTGGCTAAAAGGGAACTATTGTGAGTTAATATTCGGAGGTATTATTCAGTTAAAAATTATTTGAAATTCTTTTGAAATGAATTGATGAATTGATGAAACGACTAATGTTTATATTAATCAAAGTGTGAACGTTATGATGAAACAGTAAAGAAATGTAATATTTCAAAAAAAAATATACTGAGGAAGGTCCATCACCTACGTAACTTATTGTACACTTACATGATGCGCGTGATGTTGAAGACTTCGCAAGAAAATGTCTTACGTTCTGGTTCAATGTTTTTCTTTTTTGAGCATACGTTCTGGTTCATTGTTGGTTTTCAATCTAGACCGGTATCCGTTTAATATTATAAAATATTAGAAAAGTTCTTAAACATTTTACACTTTAAAACGAGGGACATATAAAAAAGCATAGCACTTTTAATGTTCATATTAGAATGTTGTGAAAAGGAATGTTCATTCATGTTATATAATTTAACTAATAGAGAAACAAACAATCTTTCAAGAAAAACTATAGAGCCCTTTGTAAAAAAAAAGAAGAAAAATAATTAATAGAGTGGATGATAGACGATCATGACTCGTGAGGAACATGTACGCGTGGGATATGCTAGGTCTCTTCCATAAAACAAAAGGTGAAGAGAATATTTATTTACTATTTCCTATTTTGTCAGCATACCCTTATCTTGAGTTTTTGTTTTTATATTTTTAATACAACCGTTGGCTTGTCTGGCTTACGAAAGAGTCACCAAATAATATTTGTTTTACTTAAAAACTCATGAAACTTCAAACATTTTTAGGGTGATGCATCATGCATGTATTAACTAACAAGTCTTGACATGACTTTTAGTATATTAATTACAAAACTAGTAGACATCTGGAAATTATATGACTAGGTGATGCTTCATGCAGGAAAGAAGATCATGGAGGCACTATATTATGATCTTATGAAAAGTCTATTAATATTCTTGGTCAAAGCGCAAGCAAATTTATATAGAAATTTGAAGGTCAGCTAGCTTTTACATCGACCATAATTATATTCAACAAAGTGCAATAGCATGTTTAAAGGATAACAAGACGGTGCTGTTTTTATGGTGTAATCAAGCAAACTTGAAATATGAAGATTCCAAGACATTGGCTTTCTCACATGTAGTTACGACAGCTTCTGCATCGCCTTCCATGAGGTAACTCTTTTCCTGTCACATAACATCAACGTTTCATATAAACTGTATAAACACAGATGCATCTATCTCACCATATAGACATAAAATGTAATCCTAAATCAACAGTTGTGCGCATATTAAGTGACTTAGAGAATATCAACAAACCCATAAGAAAGGAGCACCATTTCTCTGCTTTATCCTCCTCTCCAGTACTTTGATGGCTGCAAGTTCAGTGTTCAAGTTGAGTAAACGAACAACCAAGCTAAAGAATAGTGTTTTGGGAGTTTACCAGTGGAAGATTGACCGGTGAGTAATAGCAATTTGTACCAGATTTCATTAAAAACATCTAACTGTAAATCTGATGCCCCAATCACCTAATTTAGCACGAAAGAGATACAAACCGAGAGCATCCATGTACACCTGAAGTTTTATATTACAAGTACAAGACATCAGATTGATAAAGTTAGTCCCATGTTCCGTTTTTAAATTATAAAGAAAAAATAATAAGAGAATCACGTCTGAAGCAACTGCATCTTCTTTCTCCAGCTCTTTGCACATCTGATTATCATAAATTTCTTGTACTTTACTCATCGGTGACCCTCCTTCCAAGTAACAAACAGCGACATGCCACCAATTATGTGAATACCTAACATTTCAAATATTTGGTTCAAGCGATGATCAGAAGATGTTTACAATTTGTTTTAAGTATACATTTATACCTTAAGGAAGAGCAAGAATCCCATGAAGCTGAGCATCCTGACATGAATTCTACTGCTTCTTTGAAACGACACGCAGTTTGAAGAACATGACATAACTGGTCAAACACACACAAATGTAAGCTTGCATATGGATAAAGGAAATATTACCAAGTAACAATAAAAGATTAGGGTAATAAATGTGGAACTCACGCAATGATGAGCCCAAGAGTCGTTTTTGTTGATCTCATATCCTTTCCTAGCAGCTTTCTCAGCTTCAGTTATATGTCCAAGCTCCAATAAGGGGAATGCAAGCATTCCATAAACATAGTCTTGTTCTCGATTCTCCGGTAGAATCTATACCAAGTTATAACCCGGTGAAGAAAGTTAAAGATAATGACTGAATATTCACGCAATAATCATCAATTTGATTAAAACTTGAAGTACCTTCTCAAAAAGAGGCAAAGAGAGATCAGGTCGACCCATGTAGAAACACAAAATCTCTACTCTTTTCCAAGCTAGCAAATCTTTAGGAAACTTGTTCAAGAGCTGCAAAATATAAAGAGTGTGAATAACTGCTAGGAAGGAAACTAATATCGATTTTTCTAATTAACCTTAGAGTGTAACTCCAAAGCCTTGTCTTCTTCCATGTTATCAGAGATCAAGTAATTAACGGCCTCAAAGTGGCTTTCCCCTATAAACGTAAAACCAATGAATTTTAAAGCTCAACAACGCCAATTGCTCATGAACATGGCAGACTATATACAAGTAGTAGCTACAGAGAATCTTTCATTCACTGAGGCAGAGCTTACAAGATGGTATTCAGCAGCTCGAGCATAGGTTTTGGCTCTGGAAATGTCCGAAGAGATAAGGTAGTGCGCAGCCAAAATATTGCCTAAAACACAATCTTTATCATACAGTGGCGCTTCTAGACATTTCTGCATAGCTCCTGTTAGGCTATTCATCAATTTAAGGCCGACTAAACAGTTTGTTCCCAACTTTTGAATATTTTAAAACATGATTGGGCATTATTGTCTCCATATGAGCCCAAACATGTTGTAAGCACCATATGGGACCAATATTTCAGTCAATTGGGACCCCTTTATAATACGATTAACTATTTCCCAGTGTCGTTTAGGCTGTATGATGATAATTTTTTTCTGCAAATAAAACTATGAAAATACACTCCCCAAAAACACGTAGTCATGTTTCAAAAACTGGTTCATCATAGTATTGTTTACCTTGTAAGTTTAATGTCTCTTTTGACCTTTTCATCATATTCATCCTTTTTGAAGCTATTCAAATGAAGACTTAATGATCTCTCGATTTTTTAATTAAAAGTCAACAGCCTACTTTTTCTGGTTGTTGTTTGGTCAATTGTTTAAACCTCAAGCCTAACTTTCATCTAAATTAAGCAGCAAGTCTAAATAATTTATTTTACAAGACCATAATTCCCTTAAAAGTATCTAACTAAGATGAATATGTGTTTGAAAAAACGGACCCGTAATATTACTGATCACGCTTCGTATTATATATTGGAAGAAGAATTCAACAGTAGTTAAAGCAAATACCTTTTGGCACATGCTACAGATCATAAATCATGGACTATTTCATTCTTAATTACCCAATTTACTTTCCATCATTCCAGTTTCCAGCAAAGACTCAGATAATTATATAGCGCATGTAAACATTTTCTTATCTTTTAGACAAACATTTTATTGATCTATTAAGGTGTTTTGTATATTATGTGGTAAGTGGACCCATGAAAATTATTTGAAATTTTGAAAATGAAATTGAATAATGGAAACGAAACTAGACGACATGAAGAGCTATTAAAAGGGATTGCAGCCGATACAACTAAAAGTTCTCACCGACATTACCGCAAGTACGTTGTCACTGGACCTGGTGGTCTAATTTCGAAAACGGCTCAATAAACTAATGATTCATGTTAAACGAAATATAAAACTTCCTAAATCATAATAATTAAATAATATGTTATAATGATAAGAATGTGTGGTGAGTAGCCTCTAGAAACCACCTGGCTGTCTTTATTTTAATCATTAAAATACTATTGCAAACTCTTCTTTCGCTATGATATTTCTTAACATGAAATTTGAGCCAAGAAAAATATAACCTAAACTTACTACTAAAAACGTTATTAGCGGTTATTTTGTATTTTTATTTGGAGTTTTGCTACACCACCAAAAACGTTCAGTGATTATCACCAGTTATAAGTTTGTGTTTCTTACCATTAATTATTAGAAATAATTTTAACTTAACTTCACAAATATCAAAAAGCTTTATAAAAGGACTTAAGCTTATTATTCTATACATAAATTAAATACATTTTATTTTCCCCCAGTTCCTCTTACTGAAATCCAAATAAACGACGTAGTTTCAACAGTAACTGGCTTTTCCATCTTCATTTTCAGTTCAAAGTTTCTGAGTTTTGCTTTAAAGTTGGAACTCAAATCAACAACTTTTTCGAATAAAGTTCACTTTAGTAAAAAAAAAAACAATTTTGCATTAATGGCTCACTAATCCCACTCTGTTCATACCATTTCTTCTTCTTCTTCATTTGAGTTTCGTTGGTTTGAATTGAGCAAAATGAAGAAGTCCAAACTCGAAAACTCCGCCTCACACACTCGGTTCGGTCTTGTTCAGTTCCTACTAGCTCTTCTCCTCTTTTACTTCCTCTGCATGAGCTTCCAGATCCCTTTCATCTTCCAAACCGTGTCCAACGGCGGTTTGCCGACACAGATTATTCTTGTCGGCACCGAAGCAAACAGAGCTATTCTCGGAGAAGAAGAACAAGAAAACCAACATCTACCTTCCAAGCACCCGGGTCAGGTTAACCGGGCGGGTTTACCGGAGTTCAAAACCGTCTCTGACATCTTCTCCAACAAGACCTTCTTCAACACCGACGAGCTCTCCGTCTTCCACGAGACCGTGAAGCACGCGATCTCAACGGGAAAGAAAACATGGGACGAGGTTAATTCCGGTTTAATCACCAAACCGAATCCGGTTAAAAACCGGACCGAGGAGAAATGTCCGGTTACTGTTTCGGTTACCGGTTCGGAGTTCTTGAACCGGAGCCGGGTCGTGGTTTTACCGTGCGGGTTAACGCTTGGATCTCACGTCACCGTCGTGGCGACGCCGCACTGGGCGCACGTGGAGAAGGAGGAGGATGGTGATAAGACGACGATGGTGACGCAGTTCATGATGGAGCTGCAGGGGTTGAAGGCGGTGGAAGGTGAAGACCCGCCTCGGATCCTCCATTTCAACCCGAGGGTTAGAGGTGACTGGAGTGGGAGGCCAGTGATTGAGCAGAACACTTGTTATCGGATGCAGTGGGGTTCTGGTTTGCGTTGTGATGGTCATGAGTCTAGTGAGGACCAAGAGACTGGTATTATATACTATATAGTTTTTTTATTTCATTTTTATTAATTATTTTGATATATGAAGGTTTGACTATTTGTTTATGTGAAGTTGATGGAGAGGTGAAGTGTGAGAAGTGGAAGAGGGACGATGATGATGGTTCTGATGAGTCAACGAAGACATGGTGGTTGAATAGGCTTATGGGTCAACGGAAGAAGAAGATGACACATCATTGGCCATACCCTTTTGAAGAAGGGAAGCTCTTTGTTCTTACCCTTAGAGCTGGGATGGAAGGTTACCATATAAGTGTTAATGGAAGACATATCACATCTTTCCCTTACAGAACAGTGAGTTCTTTTGTTTTGTCTGAAACCGCTTGGTAAGGAATGGTTTAAAATTGAATTGTGTAATGGATCTTTACAGGGATTTGTTTTAGAGGATGCTACTGGATTAGCAGTCAAGGGGAACATTGATGTGCATTCGATATATGCTTCCTCCTTACCTTCTACAAACCCAAGCTTTGCACCGCAGAAGCATCTTGAGATGCAGAGCATGTGGAAAGCTCCTGCGTTGCCTGAGAAGCCTGTGGAGCTGTTCATCGGTGTTCTCTCTGCTGGTAACCATTTTGCAGAGAGAATGGCTGTGAGGAAGTCATGGATGCAGCAGAAGTTAGTCAGATCATCTAAAGTTGTTGCCCGGTTCTTTGTGGCATTAGTAAGCAACAAGTCTTGAAAATAATAAAATTATCTTTATCATAATCACTGGTTTAACTGTATTTGTTTATGTTTTGTCATGTTGTAGCACGCAAGAAAGGAAGTCAATGTGGATCTAAAGAAAGAAGCTGAGTACTTTGGTGATATTGTCATAGTACCTTACATGGATCATTATGACCTTGTTGTGCTCAAGACTGTTGCCATCTGCGAATATGGGGTTAGCACAGTTGCTGCAAAGTATATTATGAAATGTGATGATGATACGTTTGTGCGAGTAGATGCTGTGATACATGAAGCAGAGAAGGTTAAGGGAAGAAGTAGCCTTTATATTGGAAACATTAACTTCTACCATAAGCCTCTGCGCACTGGAAAATGGGCTGTGACATATGAGGTAACAATTTTTACATTTTTAGTACCTGAAACTTAGTAGAGCTGAACAAGTCAAAGGTTATGACAAACTTTGTTGCATCAGGAATGGCCAGAAGAGTATTATCCACCATATGCAAATGGTCCTGGTTACATCTTGTCATATGACATAGCTAAGTTCATCGTCGATGATTTTGAACAGCAGAGATTAAGAGTAAGTTAAACCTTTTACGCATTTGATATATTTAGTTTAGCATCTGTTGATATGGTCATTGCTACTTTGTTATTGCAGTTATTCAAGATGGAAGATGTGAGCATGGGAATGTGGGTGGAGAAGTTCAACGAGACTAGACCAGTGGAGGTTGTTCACAGCCTCAGGTTCTGCCAATTTGGATGCATAGAAGACTACTTAACCGCTCATTACCAGTCGCCACGGCAGATGATTTGCATGTGGGATAAGCTGCAGAGACTTGGGAAGCCTCATTGCTGCAACATGAGATGACATAACATTGTTTTTTTGGCCGGGGTTCTGGAAATTTTCCTTAGAACGCAGATGGGAGTTTATGGAGCTAACTGTTTTAGATCTCTGTATATTTTATATGGAACAATCTACAATGTATCTATATATATATTTAATATATATGAAAGGCTCTTGAAAAGTTGACAGAAATTAAAGTGATATAACTCGTTTGCAGTTCTTACAAACTAATATAAAGTATGTGTGCTATCTCTCAACTTCCTCACTAAGATGAGGACTGTGAATCCCTTCAGCTGCTCTGTTTCATCTACATGCTAACACTTGAACTTTTTGTCAAGATACTAAACAATTGTTTTTGCCAGAGCTTTTGGTGATTAAAGTTGTAGTAAGGGATATATCTTCTCACAAGAAAGGATGCACAAAGCAGAGTAACAGCATTTGCTATTTAAGACCGTAAACCAAAACTGGTTTTGCAAGCCACGCCAGATAAAATAAGCATTTAGCATCACATGATTAAATTCGGATGCTCCCACATGTTGTCTTAATCACAACATTAACTGATCGGCTATGTAAGGAAGGAGACTTAATGACAGAAAATGACCTCGAATTAACGACAGAGAATGACCTCTTGCATGAGGTATGACTTGGATTAAAGAACCTTTGGTTTCAGTAAGCAACTACTCCATTTGGATCAAAAAATTGTATGTTTTAGTTTTTTCACATATATTAAGAAAACATATAAAATTTTGATTATCAATGTATCATATTTTGTTCCTAGCAATTCTCCATAATTTTTAACCAATAGAATTTTAATAAACACAGTTAATTTTTTTGAAATTAACAATTTATTATTAATTAATATATTGAAAATATAGAAAATATATCTTTTTTGAAACAAATATATTTTTTTTAGAATATAGATCTTACTGAAACAAAGAGGAAGTATTTTATTAGCCACCCACTTTGTTGCATTGGTCAAAAATATTCAACTCCTAGTCCTAATGAGTTAAATATAATTTAAAACATTCAAGACAACCACTCTATATGTTGGTAGGTCAGTCATTTTAGCCGAATCAATAAATTATGACAATTAAAACTGTCAAATTTTTAAATTAAAAATAATTTGGTAAATACGAATTGGAGGGTTTTTTATTTAATTTGAAAGTTAAGGTTGTTATTGGTCGTTTTTCACTTCATAGATATTGAAGTCAAGATATTGGGAAGAAGTGAACCATCCTAGTCTTCAAAAATAGATTGAGTCGGTTTAATGCCTTGTTCGGTTTTAGAATCCCATCCACACGGTAGTGAGAGTAAACGGATAATTCGTTTATCCAAAAGACGAGAAACAAAACAAATGAGAACACGTCACTTTTTGTCCACAAGAGACGAACTCGTGTTAGAAAAAAAATATCTTGAATGATTGATGCCGACAAGAAAACTGCAAGCTGTCTTCTTTTAGATTGTCTCTCTCAAAACATCTTCTAAACCCAGCACAAAGACGAAACTGTTCGTGTAGAAAGCTCTGTTCTTTCTTTTTCGTTTCGAAATGGAGAAGAAGATGGTGAGATGTGTCCGGTGGGGTTATGAGGTTAACACCTCTTCCGATGATTGCATCCACGCAATTGACTCCTATTTTCAGCAGGTTCCTCTTCGATCATCACTCTTTCGTTACAGATGTAAAAGAAAAGATTTTGACTTTAGTGTGCTCTGTTTTAGCTACGGTCTTGTAATATGTGCTCTGTTTTAGCTTCTGCTGTGTGTTTCAGTGGCCTTATGGTTATTAAAGTTTCGATCTTTGTCTTGTTTGATCGTGCTTTCAAGGTTCTTAGTTTTGGAAGGAATGGGAAAGTGATTCTAGAAGCACCACTCCACGACAAAGATTGTGTCTTGGGAAACATTTTAGCTGCCCATTACGTTTCCTCATCTGATTATCACAGAGCTAAGTCCTATCTTAAAGCTGCGACATCCAATCTTGTGAGTCTTTATTTCTTCACTGCTTTGTAGTTTTCTGACTCTACTTGCGGTTTTGGAGGTATATAATTTCGTTCTTTTTTTTTACAGGAACAATCTACACCTTATGAGAAAGCGGTTTTCGAGTCTGTTAGTTACCTAATGTCTGAGGACAGGGATGATAACTTGGCTTTTGAGATGCTCGCCAAGGTTGGATTTGATGTCAACTAAAACTTTCTGAAGTTAATTTGTTAAGTCTCTTTTTTTTTTTTAAATCTGAACTGTGTTTTTTGCAGCTACTTAAAAGATTCCCTAAGGATTTGGTCTCTCTGAAGAGAGCTCATATTTTAAGTTTCTACATGGGTCAGCCTAGTCCCTTTCTGGATCTTGTACAGCAGGTATACTTTAAGCTCTCATAGACTTGTTTGGTCACTGAATGATTCACTGTCTTAAGGCTATTATTACATCTGCTTAATGTTGTAGGTTCTACCTGAGAATCAAGAAGAAAGTTACATACACGGCTTACTTGCGTTCCCATTGCTAGAACTTGGTCGAATGGAAGAAGCTGCGGCAGCTTCAAGGAAAGGCTATGAGATAAACAAAGAAGACGCTTGGGCACATCACTGTGTGAGTATCTCAACTTGCATCATTTATCCTTAGTTTCTATGTGATGCTTACGTATTTTGTTGCAGCTGTGTCATGTTCTTCATCATGAATGTCGATTTAAAGAAGCAGTGGAGTTCATGAAAGAAGTCTCAGTATCTTGGCCTTCTTGCTCATCTTTCATGTAAGAGCATTTAAGGCTCTCTCACATATTATCAAGCTCTTCTCTTATCATCTAGAACATGCTGTTAGGTATACACACAATTGGTGGCATGTTGCTCTCTGTTACTTGGAAGGAGGGTCACCGATGAGTAAAGTCGAGGAGATTTATGATGCTCACATCTGGAAAGAATTGGAGAAAGAAGACGCTGATCCTCCTGAAGTAATCATCTTTTCGATTAGGAAACTTATGCTTTTTGCTTCTTCTATCAAGTATTCAACTGTATGCAAACTCTCTTTAGGTTTATCTCAATGCTCTTGGTTTGTTACTGCGTTTGGATGTAAGAGATGCTCTTGATGGTTCGTTTAAAGACCGTCTCAAACTCCTTGCAGCTCGTTTGACTGATCAGGTAAACCATGCACTGATGGTATATTACCTCATATCTTTTTTGCAGTTACTATACCTTCTTCTAGTCCTCACTAGTTCTTGGCCACTTGCTTTAACGTTTCAGGAAAACTGGTATTTGGAGTGGCACCTTGATATATTGATAATTTGGGCATTGGCAAAAGTTGGAGATGTATCAAGAGCTCATGAGTTACTCGAGGGTCTGAAGTTCCGGTTAGTGTAAATCTATCTTTTATGCAGTTTCTGTTTGATACAAGATTTGTTGTGAACCTGTGTTTGTTCTTGCAGAGTATCGAAGATGGACAAGGAGAAACAACAAGAGATACAGAAAGGGATTCAGGTTTGTTTCCCCGTCTTTGACTGTCTTTTCCGTTTTAACAACTCATCAATGTTAAGTCTTGTTTTCTTTTGTATCAGCTCGGCGAAGCTGTGTATGAATATGCAAAGGGTAACTACAAACAGGCTATACAGCTACTTGGTTCAGATTTCAATGCCTTTGGTTACAAAGTAAAACAAATCTCCAGCTACTAACTCAAAACCCTGTGGATTAAACAAACACACTTGATTCCTTTTTTAAATTAATGTTTGATGGTTAATAACAGATCATTGGGGCATCAGATGAACAAATAGATGTTTTCAATGAAATGTGGTGTCAGCTACTGCTAAAGACATGCCAACCATCCACCGGTGCGGCTTGTTATAAGTCTTGAAATCAGTTTTATTGAATATTCTTTTTGTTTAGTATAGCAATAAACACTCTTGGGTCTGATCTGTGCAGCCAAAGAAGTGATTAGAGAGAGGATAAAGGTCAGAGATGGTGTTCCCTTCATGTGGCGTTTACTGGTAAAACATAATATGTACATACTTTTTATCATGTGTCAATGGTTTTTTGTTGGTGATGAGAAAACTCATGTGGTGTTTCTGGTGGCAGGAGAAGAGTTATGCCATGGAAGGCAATGCAGAGGCTGAGAGGGCAGGAGAGAGAGCTAAGAAGCTGGAAGAATCTTCTTATTTCTAACTCTGCTTCTTAATGTGTAAAACCTTTTGGATTTGGTGTGTACATTTTGTTTTATAGTAAACTGAAGACACTTTTACTAGTAGCCAGAAGACACTTTCAGAACAGAAAACACATTTAATCTCCAGTTTGGGGCTTCAAATGGTAACGTGTGTGTCTTGTCTGAAGTCTGAACGTAGATAATTCAATTCACACGAAGTCAAAAGCTTACATTCTCAAAACACAATGAATTTCCCATATATAACATTTCTTCTTTTGTTATGGCACATGATTGGAAGAAGTTGTACCTTCAAATTTTCTGTAAAATTTAAACCTATAGAGTATTCTAATATACCCCAGTTGGAAAATAACTATTCTAACTACTCCACCATTTTTCTCACTGCCCCCACTTTTTTTTTGTTCGTAGTAGTTTCTAGTAATTCAAGGTAGTTTGTTTTTTGTTCATAGTAGTTTTCTAGTAATTTAAAGTAGTTTCTAGTAATTCATAGTAATTCAATGTAGTTTCTAGTAATTCAAGATAGTTTCTAGTAATTCATATTACACATAATACTGATTAATTAAGGGTTGTTGATTTTATAACCATATTTAGACTTTGAACAAAAAAAAAAACAAATTTAAGATGGGTTAAAATAGAACGAAGATGGTAGTGAGTGGGGCAATGTAGAATTTAGTCCTAGATTTCTTTAGTTGTATGTTTGAAAAAAAAAATCGTAATATAGCACTAATAAACTTATAGAGCCAATATATTAGTGTGCTCTAAATATTTTGCTCTGTATATCAAAAAGAAAACATCTCTGTATAGCTTTTAAAAAAAAATATTTAGAGCACGATTGTAAGAGATTTGTGCAATAGAGAAAATACTAACTTGCCGGGCACGTAACGTTTCTTTACACGTTTATTATATTTTCCATACTCCCAATAAATAACAATTTCTACTTTCCTTTTCTTTTTGCTCTTTTTTAGGTAGTGTATATATCCAAGAGATAAACAATTTATATTTTCCTTTTTACTATATTCTTTGTTATTAATATAGATTACATGTTCTTTCTCCAATCTCATTCGCACAAAATCTATTATGGCTGAAGAGGAGAAGAATTCTGCAATGGAGATGGAGAGGAAACTGAAGAAAGAAGAGAAGGCTAGAGAAAAAGAGATGAAGAAGCAAAAGGCTTCTGCGAAACCAAAGCACGGCCATGGGAAGTCCACAAAACCTATAACTCTCACCGACAACAAGAACAACATCAAAGATACACCTTCAGAAACTCCTCTTGGCGAGAAGAAAAGGTTGTCTTCAGAGATGGCCAAGCAGTACAATCCTTCTGCTGTAGAGACATCGTAAGTTAACTCTCTCTAAAACCCTAATTATATATACACCAGTTTTCGAATGATTTATATATATAACTATGTTTACTCTGTTCAACAGATGGTATGAATGGTGGGAGAGATCTGGTTTCTTCAAAGCGGACGCAAAGAGTACCAAACCAAAGTTTGTGATTCTTCTTCCTCCTCCTAACGTTACAGGAGTCTTACACATTGGTCACGCTCTAACATGTGCAGTCCAGGACACACTCATCCGTTACAAAAGAATGTCTGGTTACAACGCATTATGGCTTCCAGGTTTTGACCATGCAGGTATCGCTACACAAGACGTTGTTGACAAACATCTTATGCATGAGAGAGGGAAGACCAGTCACGAAATTGGTCGTGAGGAGTTCTTAAAAGAAGCCTGGAAGTGGACACACAAGTACAGTGGCACTATAAAAACACAGCTGAGACGTTTAGGGTCGTCTCTTGATTGGTCTCGTGAGTGTTTCACAATGGACGAGAAGAGATCAAAGGCTGTGGTTGAAGCCTTTGTGAGGCTACACAAAGAAGGTGTTATCTACAGAGGTGATCAGCTTGTTAACTGGGACTGTTTCTCAAGAACAGCTAGATCCGATGAAGAGATTGATCATATTGAGATTAAAGGAAGAACATTAAAGAACGTTCCTGGTTATGAGAAGCCTGTGGAGTTTGGTGTTATGACTTCATTTGCTTATCCTCTCGAGGACGGATCAGGAGATGTTGTTGTTGCTACTACTAGAGTGGAGACAATGCTCGGCGATACCGCCATTGCTGTTCATCCTGATGATGTAAGATACAAGCATCTTCATGGAAAGTTTGCTGTGCATCCGTTCAATGGAAGGAAGCTACCGATTGTATGTGATGCAGACCTTGTTGATCCGGAGCTTGGTACTGGTTGTGTTAAGATTACTCCAGCACATGAACCAAAGGACTACGAGCTTGGGAAGATTCACCATCTGGAAGCTATAAACATATTCACCAATGATGGTAAGATCAATAAGAATGGTGGGTCTGAGTTTGAAGGAATGAAACGTTATGTGGCGCGTGAAGCTGTTACAGAAGCTCTGCGTAGCAAAGAACTGTTGAGAGGTGTGGAAGAAAAGGACATGAGGATTGGGATCTGCTCAAGAAGTGGTGATGTTGTTGAGCCTATGTTAAAGCCTCAGTGGTATGTGAGGTGCAGCACAATGGGCAAGGAGGCACTTGATGTTGCTGCTAACGGTAAACTTGAGATTATACCAAAGCAGTACTCAACAGAATGGAGAAGATGGCTTGAGAAGGTGCATGACTGGTGCATCTCTAGGCAGATTCTATGGGGTCATAGAATCCCTGCTTGGTACGCAACTCTAGAGGAAGACCATCTTAAGAAGTTTGGTACTTACATAGACCATTGGGTTGTAGCTAGAAACGAGGAGGAAGCTAGAGAAGAGGCTGCAGTTAAATTTCCTGGGAAGAAGTTGTTGGATCTCTCTCAAGACCCTGATGTGCTTGATACATGGTTCTCTTCAGGGCTCTTTCCTTTATCTGCTTTCGGATGGCCAGACCAAACAGAAGAACTCAAAGCTTTCTATCCAGGTTCTGTTCTTGAGACTGGTCTTGACATTCTTTTCTTCTGGGTGGCTCGCATGGTTATGTTGGCTATGAAGCTGAGTGATGGAGAAGTTCCTTTTAGTAAAGTTTATTTGCATCCAATGGTACGTGATGCACAGGGACACAAGATGTCAAAGTCTCTTGGCAATGGTATTGATCCACTTGATGTCATTAACGGTCTTCAGACAAGGTTGGAGAAAGGTAACTTGGACAGCAAGGAGGGTATCCCTGAGTGTGGAGCTGATGCTCTTCGGTTTGCTTTGGTTTCTTACACTGCTCAGTCTTATAACATAAACATGGATGTGAAAAGAGTTGTTTGTTATCGCCAGTGGTGTAATAAAATTTGGAATGCTGTCAGGTTTGCAATGATGAAGCTTGGAGATGATTATAAACCTCCTTTGAAAACTATATCCCCTGAAACTATGCCCTTTAGTTGTAAATGGATTCTTTCCGTGTTGAACAAGGCAGTGTCAAAGACTGTGGAGTCATTGGATGCTTTTGAGTTAGCTGATGCATCTAATACTGTTTACTCTTGGTGGCAGTATCAGTTTTGTGATGTGTTTATTGAAGCAATCAAGCCTTTCTTTTCTGGTGAAAACTCTGATAGGACTCATGCACAAGATTCTCTATGGGTGTGTCTCGAGACTGGCTTGAGACTGTTGCATCCGTTTATGCCTTTTGTTACGGAAGAGCTGTGGCAAAGGTTACCTTCACCGCAAGGATGTGAACGGAAGGCTTCTATTATGATATGTGAGTACCCATCTCATTTAGAAGAGTGGAGAAACGAGAAGGTGGAAGCTGAAATGGAGATGGTTATGGCGATTGTGAAGACTCTTAGGGCATTGAGAACTGTGGAGTCGATGGAGAGACAGAGGAATGAAAAGTTACATGCGTTTGCTCTGTGTGGAAACGCTTCAACACTGGAGATTGTGAAGTCTCATGAGACAGAGATCAGAAATCTTGCAAAACTCTCATCTTTTGAAGTTGTGTTGAAGGGAGAAGACAAAGGAGGTCAAGCTGGTTCTGCTGTTGTTGAGACGGTGAATGAGAACCTCAAAGTGTATCTCAAAGTGGATGGAATAGCTATAGACAAAGAAGCTGAACGTGAGAAGATGGGGAACAAGATTGAAGAGATACAAAACCAAAAGGAGAAGTTGGAGAAGATTATGGGTGTGAGTTGGTATGAAGAGAAGGTACCTGCAAACATAAAAGAAGAGAATGCAAAGAAGCTTGCTAAACTTCTTCAAGAGTTGGATCTGTTTCAAGAGAGTTGATCATCTAATCTTATAGATTAATAGACTTTTTTATTCTTTCTAGTCCTAGTTTATTGTTTTACATAAGAACTGTGTTAATCAAGAAAGTTATAGTCATGACTTTGTTGTGAGAAGATATTGACTACATTGTTTAGCGACTTGCGAGAAGAATGTTATGAACTTATAATGCAGACTAGGTGATTTTCCCGTGCTCATGCACGGGTATAAATATTTATTAAGTAAATATACTATAATAAATGATTACTATTTACTTTTAATTTTCAATTAATTTATAATTTGCATACATGATTTATATTAATAATATTAATTTACTTTAATTAGACATATTATTTTAGAAATATTATATCTAGTCAGTTTTATTATTTTATAGTCGATTTTACTGTTATTATTTGGGTATATTAGATTACATTCTTTTATCTGAATTCAACTATAATATTGTTTATTCTAAATATATTAAATTTTGATTAATTCTATTATTTACTTTTAGGTTGTTTGCTGTCTCAGTTGTCAATATATTTTAGAAAAGTTATTTATAACTTAAGATATATTATGCCTATAATGAAATATAAAATAATTTTGATTTCAATTTACATCAATCGATATAAAGATAATCTTTGAAGTCTCATGCATATATATAAATTTCACAAAATAAATCAAATTAAAGTAATATTATTTATCATTTAAATGTGCACGTATTTTCATAATATTTATCAAGTTATATTTTTCTTTAAAATATAGTAGAAAATAAAGCAATAATCAGTAGGAAGTTACATACTTAAGTAACTCATATATTTTTGAAGATTCATGAACACATATCAATATTTCCAATAACTAAAATATTTTATAAATTCTAAATAATTTTATATCTTAGATTTATTGAATGATAAACTGAAATTATTTTAAATAATCTTAAAAATGAGAATTCGGATTTGCTTTGGTATTTTTATTATGGTTATATTAAGTTACACAAACATAAAAAATTTCAAAAAAATTAAAATTAAGAAACATAAAATTTAAATAATGATAGAATATAGCATATCTATGTCATTAAAGTATATAGTGGTTTGATATTTTAAAATATTTTGTAATTATTTGATTAAAATATGTTTATTGTTAAAAAATATTTTAATTTCTCTTACAAATAAGCAGTAAAAATTGTGGTTGTATTTGAGAAATCATATTATATAAGTAAAATTTAATTTATAGATATTTTTTTTTTTGCTTTAGTTGAAAGATACTATAGTCAACTAAATATATGAAAAAAAAATATTCAATAATTTTAATTAAAAACTATTTTAGTTAATAAAACATATACTTGTTTATGTTACTTAAAATTATGTTTAAAAGTAATTTTTTTTTTCAAATATCAAAATTATATGTGTGAATGTTTTGTTATGAAATCACATTATATAAAAATATATATTTTCATATAAGAAAATCCAGATATAAAGAAAGTATTTTATTAATTAAAAAGTACATTTTATGTTATTTAAAATATTTTTAATGGATGTTACTATTTTGTTAATTTTCCCTTTTAATGAAATCATATTATATAAACATATATTTTCGTTTTTAATTTTTCCTTTTAAATTTTATAGATATTTTTTCTATTATAAGTTTTAGTTGGAAATTTTTAAAAAGGAAACTAAATACAAAATTAATAATACTATTTTACTATTTTGATAGTATATTACTATTTTGTGAACTTTCCTTTTTAATGAAATCATATTATATAAACATATATTTTCGTATTTAAATTTAATAATTTTTTTTTCTTTTTTATTATAAAATTTATTTAAAATGTTTTAAAAAGGAAAATAAACATAAAATTAATAATATTATTTAAATATATTATTTAAATATATTCATCAATGGTATCATAGTAATCAACCGGTGTATGAGTCAACGTAAGCGCGCCACATAGGAAACTGACTTCTCAAATAATATTATAGAGATTACCTAATTCTTTATAGGGTTTTTGCCAAAACTAACCCACAACTTGGTTTTAACCCCAATACTAGACCCCAACTTGAATCAAATGCAAATCTAACCTAAAAGGGCTATGAAATTACAATATAGTCCTCTGTGACCAAACAAAAAAACAGAAGACATTTTTACGAATATAACCCTAGTAAGTTGTCTGAGTTGGGCTGAGTTACTTTTCAGTCGT